GGTAGTCAAAGGCTTGCGGAAGGCACGATTAGCAGCCCGCGTGTCGAGGATGAGCCTGAGTTTCCCGCTCTTCTTGTGCACAAAGAACACGCCCACGGTGTGCGCGTGCCGTCCACTGACAAAGGTGAGCATGTGAGACTGGTGCAGCCTACCATAAAATCTCCCCAAAGAGTTAGGAGAACTGGCAAGTGCAGGATCCATGTAAGGCTTGACCACCTCCTCTTCGGGAGCGGAGCCCTCTTCGGCGAGAAGTGCCGGCATGCCTGCCAGAGACAACAAGTGTGAAGTTTCCGGGTCCAACCGCTCCGCCACGTTGACGGGACAGCTTCCAGGACTCGGCCAAGAGACCAAGGTCTCGTCGAAACTGGCAATGGTGCAATCGGTATCCTGAGAGTACAGGGTCATACCACCGAGAAGCGCCTCGAGGGCTTCTTCGGGACGAGACTGAGGTGGAGGCCCAACCGCCTTGTACATGCGCTCAAGGCGAGCGAGAGATGCGGCCTGGCCAGCCACTGGAGCGGGGCATGATGCGTCACCAGGCTTTCCATACAGAGCATTGAGGGTTTCAACACCTTCGCGAAACCAAGCCTCGGCTCCAAGTCTCCGGCGAATTCTTTGGCGTGTGCCACGGCTGAGGTTGCTCTTCAAGAGACCCCCCTCTCCACAAGGAAGACGAAGAGGTAGGAGATCTCTCTGCCGAACAGCTCCAGTCATCGGACAAAACTGAGCCCGGACGCTGTGCCAGGCAAGGAAAACTGAGAGTGCAAAAGAGGTGCGGCCAAAGGGTAGCGGGAGTAGCGGAGGCCAACCGACAGCTCCCGAAGAAAGGGCGCTCAACGGCGCCCGCTCACGGCTTGTTCTTGCCGGCCCTGAGGAGGGCGCGCTCCTCGCGAGCTTTGCGCTGCTCCTTGTTGGCCTGGCTTTCCTTGTGCAACTCTTCTCCCAACCAGCTGTTGAGTGCGGGACAAATACACAGATTGCCCCGGGTCGGATCAACACCCAAAAAGAAGTGAGATTCATCATCAACTGTGCCGCTCGAGACCGAACCAAGAATCCTCTCCCGCCAGCGGTACTGGATCATCTGAAGCCGACGGCATGCAAGTTCGATGCTAGCAAGCTCACCAATGTTCAACTGGTCGTACTCAATGGCGAGCTCGAGCATCTTGCAAAGGGCCTCGTGCTCCAAGACGCCGTTGTCCGAGGGCTGGAGCTTGCAATTGACCTTCCAGGTGTTGTGCATGGTCAGCGGGCCACCGCCGTTGGTGACGAAGTACTGCCCAACCCACCTGGCCGTACGCGGGCCTTTGATTGGCCAGTCCCCCCAGGGAGACTCACTGGCCAACTCAACTCCATCTCGAACTTCCCGCCTGCGTTTTCCATCGGTGCCGTAGCGAACAGCCAAGGTGCGGGCATCGTCTGCCATCCCAACGCCGATGGCGCCACCACCGGGAGGAGGAACAACAGTCGCCGTAGGAGGAGTAGTCACAGCAGTCGCGTAGGCCTGGAGCTCATGGGCAGGAATCAACTCCGCAAAGATCACAGACCCATCGGCCAGGCCGGCAACTCCTTTCGTACCCGCCTGATACCCGCCAACAACCTGGTTCAAGGGGACGAGACTCCCTCGAGCCCTGACTCCCTCAGTGGCAGCGACAACCCAAACGAAACCTGCAGCAGGCGCAAGCACTGGTCCGATAGGCGCCGTCGCCGCCGTTGGGGCGGGAGTGGATGCGACGACATGTGGCGCGGCAACACCAACGCCATGATCATCGATCTCCTTCTGCAGGTCGGCCTGTTCTTGCAGAGCAGCTCCACGCATATGGGCAATCTCCGTTGCGTCCGGAGCGTGGCCAATGTTGCCATCCTCGAACCTGTAGATGTTCCGCCTGGCGAGGCCAGGAGGCGCAGCCCGGTCCTCTCCGAGGAGTGCAAGTCCCTGGACGTTTGGTGCAGCAAGTGATTCACCATAGATGTCACCGTCTGGGGTTGCGACGACGCAATACCCAATCGACCTGAGGTCGCTGCTCGGCGTCGTCGTCGATAGGATGAATCTCTCGTGCCACTTCCTCTCGCCTGAGTACTGCACGAGACAATATTTGCCTTGCAGTGAAAAGGCGGGAAGACATCCCTCCAGAAACCCAGCCATAGTGGAGCAGCGCCCCAGCTCCGATCAGCAAGATGGCCTGAATCCAGGAGAACCTCCAGCTCGATTCTTCAGCCTCGCACTGGCAGTTGCAATGACAATGATGGTCAGATGCCGGAAAGTAGATGGTCCTTTCCGGTCGCCACCACCCGATCACAGCAAGTGACCCAGTAATCAGAAGGCTGAATGAGGACCCGAAGTCAAGGACCATGGGACGAACAAAGCACCCCTTTTGCCGAAAAAGTCTTGAGATGTGATAGGCGGCAAGCGCTCACATCAGAAATCTGCACAGCAGTAAACATGCGATCGATGACTGGTGTGACATCACTGAGCCAGACAATGACAAGAGAGGACCAGCGTAGCGAAAC